ACAGAGGCCAGCTGTTGAGCTGTAACCGTAAGTTCATGTATATATAGGTAATCGGGTGTGCGGGTTGTGATAAGGTGGACTTGAATAACTTAGATTCTGCACTTCACTTGGTGGAATTAATATTAGGATGTCAGGGTTTGTGATCCAAGTGAGAATATATACATTTAAACTATCATCTTTGAGAATCATAATTACTTCAAAATACTTGCTAAATTTGGTTTCTGTTTGCTTTTAAATTATACAAACATGCTAAACTGCAGATTCTTATAGCAACAGACAAGTCAGGAAATCAAGCAATGAAAACGTATGATCGTAATGCTTCGAAGTATTTGCTCTTTTATTCTCGGAGTTTGGGCGCAGTTTCATTTCGCGCATACGTTTCTGTTCTGCCTCTGCATGGTTCAGATATTTATAATATTCTTATAATACATGTATGCCATTGAATTGTTGTCATTTGGAAACGGTATATACTTTGCATTTATTTACTTGTTAAATACTATAGAGGTCTCAAAAGCGATTGTGCAGGTCGTACACCTTGGTGGTCTTACAGCAAACGTTACACATTTGGACACTAGCCAAATAACAATTAACAATTATTCGCCGAAGGCGAGGTGATTATCGAGGAATATTCGCCGAGACGAAGTCGAGGTGAATATTAAGTATAAGTATAAGAAGCTTTAATCGAACTCGCGAAATTTACAATGCTAAATGAGAACGAAACAAAAGACATTACAACAAAGGCGAGTTAGATATGGGATCGGCGAACGGACTCGAAGTCCCAACAAGGCAAACCCCGCACATAAATTATAACTAGAAATTTACACTATTAAGAAAACACAAAACTTCAATAAAAGATCTCTAATACCACTGAACAAACAGCCCAGTCTCTCGCTCAGGTTGACTGCACATACCAACGGCCACTTGAAACAAATAATTGATGGAAATTATTACGGAAAATAATCTTAACCCATGCGCTATAGTACTTACAATCTGAGGAAATAGACGTTGAATGTCCATTCTATTGATTCTAAAACCGTTTATAAACATAGTGCTCTAGATGTTTAATTATAGGTTATCATCGCTTATATTAAACACCAGGTAGGAAGGAGTGTTAACGTACAAAATTGTTTGGGATCGACAGTGCACAATTATACGACAATCGTCACAATCCACAACTGTATGCATTTCCTTTT